ATATATAGGGGATATGTTAATTGGTTTGTATGTCAAGTTTTTCGTCTATTCAAAAAAAATCTAAGGAATACGAATTATGTGAAGAAAATAAATTCACACTTGCACCTAAAGTATAGATAGACATACAAAATTGTCAAAAAGAAATATAACTATATATTTATATATGAATTTCCATTAACTGAATAAATTTATAATGATCTTTTGCATGTAAGATTTACTTTCTGTTAATTTATACATTAATACACATTCATATTAACAAGGTCCATATTTAATAGATAACTAGATCATCTTGACCCGCACAACCGTGCGGGTTTTCTTTTTATTTATAATTTATAAAACAATTTATCAATAAATAATAATATATTTATTTATAAAATTTCATAAAATACTAAAATAATAGATGTTATAGTATTATTTTTAAACATAACATGAAAGTATAAATTATCATTAACAAATATTTATTTATAATATATCTAAATAAATGTTAAAATGTATTGTACGCAAATTGTAGAAACTAAAACTTTATATTAAAGAAGATTATATATTTGATTATTTCAGATTATAATTTATGTACCAAACTAAAAAATATATTAGTAAGTAATAACAATCAAAAAAATTATAGTTATATAACATAGAACATTAAATGTAAATCATATATTTACATTTTTTATAAAACTATCAAAATGTTCTATTTATAAATGAAAAATCTGTGTGGGTCAAACTTTAGTATATAATTTTTTATAATGTATAATGTTATCTAAATAAATTTTAATATCTTAAACAAAAATATTTGTATTTCAAATAAAAGATAAAGATATAGGGTAATATTATGGAAATACAATTTAAAAAGATGCCAAAAATATTTTTTTTGGAGTTATTTCATTTGTATTAAAAATATAAAGACAAAGATATTTAAAGATATTATCATAAAATAATGTAACATTTGATAATCTTCGTAATCTTTCTAAGGAATAGTTCATTTTTAAAAATATCACACATGAATCAAGGTTGTGACTTCTGTTTTAATATATAAGATAAGAATTTCATTTATATGGAAAATTATGTTAGTTGTAAATTATGAAAAGTTAAATTTCCATTCAATATATGGCTAACTCTCTATAATTTTCGTTTTAAAGACACAATATATATGAATTTGTTTTTACTTTGTAACATAAATTGATATAAGAAGTTTCATTTATAGAAATCTGAATGTATTTGTTAAAAATAATCTTTGTTATTAAAAATAATGTAATATAAATGTATACCAATTAGAATTTCAACAATCATATTTTTTTAAATATATTCAAATTTTTACTTTCTATTTACATTGATATAATAGGATTCTAATTTTGAATGTTTAAAATAAAATATTGGACAATTATCTCAAATAGTTAATTTTTAAGTTTTTGTCACTAAAAGAAACACTAAAAAATAAAATTACCAAAAGAGATTAAGACTCTTTTATTAAAAAGGTAAAAATTCTACTATCCTTTACTTTATAGATATATATAAATATAACAAATAAAAATTAAAAAATAAAATATTTTTTCTTATTGTTTTGAATTATATGTTATCAAATTTAAACCTTTTCCAAACTTCTTTCAGATTTCTTTTTTTGCAATTTTTTTTGGAAATTCAAAAATACTTTTTGAAACCATTAGTAAATTTTTTATTTTTATTTACTTTAAGCCCTACCCCCAATATATCACCTCTTAAATCTAAACCTTAAACCTATATAAGTTAATCCTAGGGGTATAAATATATATATATATCTCTTTGATAAAATATTTTGGTCATTTTGATATTGGGACGCTATATTTGTGATAAAACATTTTAGGGATATCCTAGGAAATTTCATTCAAATATTTGAATGTTTCTTATTATATATATGAATATCATGATTAATATAAAAATAAAACTATTTTTAACACTGATTTATAATAAAAAGGTAAAGCTATTATATTAGATTTTATTAATTAAATTTTAACAATGTAATTTATATAATTCAGAAATAAACAATTAATAAAAATAAATTATAGAACATTATATAGACTTTCCATAATGGTTACACTTAGCTACTATAGATGATTGATATATACATAGATTATTTGATAACTAATATTAATTGATTCTAGGATTTTCTTTTGTAGATATGATTTAAATAAATGAAATTTAAAATTCATCAACCAATCAAATTACAGTAATTCCTTTTAAACTCAATCTATGATTGAGTACTAAACAAAAGTTAATTAAATGATTTTCAATTAATATAAAAAATTCTTTGCTTAATTTAAAAAGTCTTCTTCTATGGGCAGACTTCTTTTATTTTGCATGATGATGGGACTCATTCTAGAAAGCACTCTTAAGACTTTTCATCTTCTTATTTATTAGTCATACATTATTTGAAATATTTATTTTTTGTTCTTTTTGGTTGATACTTATTAATCTAATTTCGTACCTTAATTCTTTGACACCTTAAAAACTCTAGTTTTTCTTTCAACTTTCTAACGCCGCCATCAAGCTTGTGATTAAAAAATCTCTGCCTCTCCGGCGGTTAGGGCTTTGTGCCGGCGTCGGAGAGGGCTCCCCTTTGCTTGTTTTATGCTTTACGGATCTCCTTTTCAATTTTTCTCACCTTCAATTATGTTCTTTCTCATTGGTGTGGCTGGTGTGATCTGACCGTGCTCTCTCGTGGCTTCCGAAGGTCGGGGTTTGGTGTCTCCTTATTGATCTATGGTGGGTTCTTGTTCATGGTCTCGATTTCACCTCGTTGGTGGTAATAGATCTTGGCGGATCTTGTTTTACTCGGTTTTTCTGGTGTATTGCAGTTTTCTGATTTTGTTGGATTCTGAATCTAGCCGTTCATTTGTGTTCGATTGCGATTATGGTTTTTTAGGCGTTTGGAGAGGGCAATGCTTCTGTGGCCTTTTACCTCCTCTTGGTAAGTTCAGATTCCTATCAGGTTGTTTCTGTATGAAATTTAGAAAGAGAGTTGTCTCCATTGTGGCTCCATCTATGTCTATGTTTTTTCCTTCGGGTCTGGTTTCTTCCCGGTTCTATAGGGCGTCGTTCGAGTTCGGGTTTCTTCTTTGCGCCTGCCGGTTGTGAGGTGGTATTTTTCGGTTTCTTAGAGGTATCCTTGCTTCTCCCATTGTTTGGTTTTGTAGAGTAGTTTCTCCAACTGTTGTCGTAGGACAATGTATTGAACTTGTGACTTCATCGGGTCTCTGATTACCTTGGGACGAAGATTAAGCAAGATATCATCTTTTCCTTTCTCCAGTAGTGATATGTCTGGTACTTTTGACATTTCGGTTGGGGCTGTTCTATTCTCTCTTCCAAGATTGGTGTGCCTTCGTCATATTTGTAATGTCAGCTGAAAGACTATGTTTTAAGAATGAAAGTCGCATTGTTGTTTTATTTCTCTTGTCTTGTACTCCGGAAAGGTGTGTCTTTACCGGCGTTTGTCTCTCGGATATTTCTATCGAGCTATCGGTCTCTCGTATCCGTTTTGAGCTTTGTTGAATTATTGTACTTCAGTTTAAGTTAAATGAATTCACATATGACAAAAAAAAAGTGTTTGACACCTTTTGATAAAAAAAAAAAAAGTCTTTGACACCTCTAATAACATAGACAGCTTGACGGTAACATACTTATTAGGAAACATGATGTAACTCTTTAAAACGCAAAATCAGTAAAAATGCAAACTGTGTTGTTAGACAATTAACATACAAAAAGCATGCATCAGAGGTAAAAATGACTAATTCAAGTCTCCAAGTACAATATGCTCTCATTCCGAACCACATATATCAAGCCAAAACATATGGTTTTATTGTCAATCTTTCTCATATCGTTGCTTTGCAGATCATAACTGAGAACATGAAAGGGAGAAAAGCAAATCATGTGGTATCAATAAAACCATGCCACTTTGAGTTGTATCTTTCACCTTAAAATAAATGTTATTGACCAATGGAGACCATAAGGTTGCAAAGTCTTCCACCATTCTTTGTTCTCGTCATTTACCAAACCTCATAAATCCACCGTACCCTATGTCAGCTAAGTGCATTTATCATTAATTAGTACTTTTAAATTTTAATTTAGAATTTATATGACAATTCTACAAACAAATTCTATAACATAGGAATAGTAATTAACTACTAATTTTCTATTTTAATTTTAACAAAATTTCCATATATTAAAATGACTAGATGTTTTTATACACACATGCATACCTAAACATTTTATAATTACTTATAAATACATGGGTTATTAATTAAAAGATTATAATGATAAATTATTATTTGTGTTTTTTTAATTAGAGAATTTAATTATATATTGTATTCATTATTAATAAATAAATTAACATTCACTTTTCAATTATATAAAGTTAAGAATTATTTGTTTGCTTAATCTAGGGATATCTCGGATTTATGAAATGATTCAAACTAATTCCCATGTGAAACTGCAGCCCACGAGTAGACTCTCTCTCTCCGGATATGCAAATAAAATTAAGAATTTTATTTGATTAATATTTAGTTATGTATTTTCTTTCTTTGAGTTTTTAACTTTTATATTAAAAATATTTTTCGGAAAACAACACCATATAATTAGGAATTATGTTTATATATTTTAAAATATATATTTAGATTTTGGATAATTTTTATTGTTATTATTTTAATAGTTTATCTAATCAAATAAACTTTAAATTGCTTTTTATTTTATTGGTTGATTTATATATTTTATATATTAAGGATAAAAACGATATTAACTTTTAATCAAATAAACATTTAACGTATGAGCTCTATGGCGAAAAATTACTTCGCAAATAGTAGTATAATAGTATTGATAAATAATAATAACATAAATGTATAACTTTTTTTTTTTTAAATTGTCTATAAATGTAAAATGATTATTAATCCAATAGTACAATTAATTTCAATATATAATTCTTACAGTTAGAATGATTTCCATTAATCAATTACGAATGCATATAATCTATCTTACCAAAACAAACTAACTTTTTTTTAATATAAATTCAATTTTCAGGAAAGGATGGTTTTATTTTACCAAATCACACAACAACTTGTAAATGATTACAACTAACATAATTTGAACAGCTAGAACAGTCATTGATGATTTATAGAGCTAGCTGATTGTACATGATTTGGTTTGGCATGAATCTTTCTTCCTAACCGGGTGGCCACTTCATCTGTCGGCCCCCAAGGACGTGGAGATGAAGATGGTAAACGGATTGGCCTTGATGAGAGGAAGATAAGTCAGTTAAGCGTATGATAGTGATGATGAATACCAGTATACGATGATATTTGGTTGGGTATAAAAGACTTACATCCTTCAGCACCGTTGTTTATAACCACACGGAACCCATCCACAATGCCTTCTTTCTCAGCAACAATCTTTGATGCGTGCAGAAGTTGACCAAGAACCTCAACGTGTCTTGGTTCAGCCTGCAAAAGTTATTCACAGGAAGACAATGTTCAAGTAAGATCTTAATCTATTCCACCAGAAGACAAACTTAAAGACATTTTCCTCAAATCGGATTATTTGATCACCCGCAGGCAGAGAGAAAAGGAAGCATTTACATATATAATATTATTGATCAGAAACACTTGCATAATGGTGGTAGTCATTACTAGTTACAAAACGACATATTAATTGGCGACAACACGAGCCTCTATGAGATCACCATGAGCAGACTAAAAGGGACTTAAGGGTAAAAGCCATTTGATATTGATGAAACATAACAAACTGAATTTCCAATTAGTACAGCTAAAGACTATTTAACCGTACCAAAAGCAAACTGAATGTTAAAATTAAAAACTGACTCACCTTGCCAAGCGTGGTCAAGCCATCTCTCAACTTAGGGATGACCAAAACATGAACAGGAGCCTGTGGATTTATGTCTCTGAATGCCAAAACATTCTCATCTTCATAGACAATGTCTGATGGAATCTCCTTCGCTATGATCTTGTCAAATCTAAAAAAAGAGTATATCTGTATCATTTCTAAATCCATCACCAACATAAACCAAGTCAGATGTCTGAAAGATTAGGCTCATTTGTATCAAAACATGATTGCTCTGTAATTAATCCTAATCAGTTATGAACTAAAATCCTTCAGACAAACCATACATTGTCGGGGCTCCCGTGTCAGAAGCAGCTTTCGCGGCCGCCTCTTCATTGTGTGCGGCACGAGTAGAAGAGAAGGATCTGCCGAGCGATTAAACCAAACAAATGAACAACTCAAATTACACATAGACCCAAAGGAATTGAATTATTTTCACCTTGGAGAACCAATACGAGGAAGAACCTTAATCAATTCTCCGGTAGAGAAGATTCCCGAACTCGATCGAACGGACTGAGCAATCCTCACCGCCGTAGAGAAGTTTCTGAGCAGGATACACCATTAGCAAATCAATTCAATAACTAATATTATGTAGTTGAACAGTTATACCGGAGCAGCATCATAGAGGAGGAAGTGACAGCCATTGAAGAAGCACTGCTTCGTCTTCGATAACCATTTCGATCGACTTCGTAGCGAGGTTTTGTACAGACGCGTAGCGAGTTCTAAACGAAACGACGTCGTGCCAATCCTGATCCAAACGACGTTGTAGCGAGTCCGAATAAACCTCTGTCGTAATAAAGTAAAATTTCTATAAATTAATAATGTTTGAATTTTGAAATTTAATTAATTTATATAGATATTAATTTAAAAAAAGTTTCCTTTTATAGATTTTTATATCTTTTTAAAATATTTTTATTTATAAATAAAATTATGTTTAATTTTATCGTATATATATTCATAAAATTTTAGAAATCTGACTTTCTTATTATTTTATTATATTACTTAGTTTATATTTTTATATTTCATATAGTTTATGTGGTTTGTTTTATATAATTTTACTAAATATTATCAAAATATATTGAATTGTTAAGAAAGAATACATGAATTTTCATTGTGAATATAAAATCAGCAATATAGTTTAGGTTATACTTATAAGAAATGTATATATAGATATGTTATTAATTTATGCTTTTAACGGGACCATATATTTACATAAGAATTTCTAAAAAGTTATTATCTTATAATTTTATCAATTTATGTCATATTTTGAATCAGACAAACTCGGGACCGAGAAAATTTATTAATTTATAGAGATTATTAATTTATCGAATATTAATTTATAGATGTTCTACTGTAGTTTTTTCTTTTTTTTTTGGTAAAATAACTGTCGTAGTAGTTTTATAGAACAAAGTCGTAATTTATAACCTATCTATCTATACAATTAAATCAGAATCCATACGATTCAGGCTTTGTCTTTTAGAGTTATTTACATTGCTATACCATCATTTTAGACTTTTCCTACTTTTTTTTTTTTGGACAAAGATTTTTCCTACTTATTTTATCACAATCCCACATTTTTCTCTCTCAATAAAAAAAAATCATTTTTATCTAATTTATTAATACTCACGTAAGTATCAAAACATGATTTCTCTACTTTCCTCCATTATAATGTAAAACTAGATCATAATCCGCCCTACTGGATGGTCTTTGTTTTTATGGTACATATACACATTTTAAAAATTACAATATAATGGTTCTAATTTTAATAAGTAAAAGTATACTGTTTAAATATTGTATTTCATCACTGTATTTGTGACTCGTAAACATTTCAGTAATAGTTTATAAAATTTTTTGGGCTAAATTTGGTACAAAGTTATATACACTAAACAATTTAGTCAAAATTTTAAGTTAATTTGTAATGAAGAATTGGAAAGTTAGTATATCACTGTTAAAAACTTATAACAACAATCAATATAAATTATATAAAGAAAATATATATTATTCTTGATTTATTCTAAATACATTTAAAAACTTATAACAACAGTCAATATAAATTATATAAATAAAATATATATTATTCTTGATTTATTCTAAATACATTTAAAACATGAATAGATATATGTATAAATAATTTTCAGAAATAAAGTAATATCAATGATAAAAAAACCCAAAACAATAATAATAGTACTTTGGGCCGCATTAATCTTTAGTTTAATAAATAATCCCATTAAATTTTTATGTCATCCATGTTTCCAATCAATCTTTTAAAATTTTCTTATTCATGTTTCCAAGCATTTGATTTTTGTACTTCAGCTTTAATAGTATAGATAACTAAATGAAAGATAAAATTAATATATAATCAACAATTTTGAATGTATAAATTACATATAATACCTTTTGCTTGAAATATAAATAGTTTGCATAGCATATTCTGAGGACTCTACTATATATTTGCAATAGAAGTAATCTTCTCACCATAAAAAAATACAAATATTCATGAATTGTTTTTTTTTTGACGACGAACGGCTGATCTATTACTCAAGCTTGAGGTGGTCTGGGAATCCAGACCGGAATAGAACAACCAACATACATGAGTTCCCGATAAAAGGATCGGGCAGTCTTAGCTAAATGATCAGATACATCATTTAGAGATCTAGGGACATAAGTAATCTTGAAATCTGGGAAACAAATCCTCAGCGTCGAGATCTTCTCCAGTTCCGTCGAAAAACATGGCCATCCATGAGGATTCGTGAGCATTGCTAACAATTCCTTGCAGTCCGTCCCAAAGCTCTGACATGGCGAATGTTGAAGCATGTTCTCCATTGCCCACCGCAGTGTTTCCAGCTCAGAATGCAAAGCCGACTCCACTCTACTTACGTTACGCATCCCCATCAACTGACTATTCCCCGTGCTGTCCTTCCAATCCCAACCACATCCAGAGAACTGATCTATAGAGGTCCAGGAGCCATCTATCATACAAATATCACGTAGGCTTATGGCCTGACTTTCCGTATCACCGTCCTCTTGTGTGGTCACAACTTCCTGCTCATTAGCTTGGAACCAGGCAAGACACTCACTCTCTGCATACCGAGCCAATTCCAGTGGATCTCTATCTAATCCTCTGAACAATTTATCATTCCGAGCTTTCCAGATGTACCATATTAACCAAGGATAAGGATCCTTGTCTAACTCTGGCCCACAAATGGTCTTCTTCCGCCAGAATAGGTAATCCATGTTCGCATATGTGCTCTCCAATGGGAACAAAGTAGCGCTGGTTGGTATAGATGCTAAGGCCCATACCTGTAAAGCCGGTGGGCATTGGAAAATTACATGTGCAATTGTTTCATCCGGTTCTCCGCATCTTGGGCATAAATTATCGTATCTCATGTGTCGATGGTTCAGCGCACTCGTAACAGCTACATGCCCCGATATAATCTGCCACATAAGATGGCACATCTTCGGAGGTGCTTTAACCTTCCAGGCATGCGCTTGGAGCCCTCTGACACTAGGTTCATCTACCAGAATCTCATCCTTCTTCCTTAGTATATTCCGATCTACCCAATAACCGGACTTAATTGTGTACTGCCCACTCCTTGTATAACTCCAGCAGAGTGTGTCTCTGCGATGAGTTGAGCTAATTGCCATACTCCTTATGAGAGCTATATCAGCAGCGTCAACATAATGTGCCAGCCGATCCAGATCCCAAGACTTGGATTCTTGATTGATAAGATCACTCACTCTCATGTTCGGATGTAGAACCGGAGCAGATGCAATAGCTGGTCTCGCCGGAATTTTTGGAATCCATGGGTCCTCCCATACCTTTACTTCATAGCCTGAATGAATTTTATGTCTAACCCCCAATAGCAGCAAATCACGTGCAGCCGAAATGCTAGTCCACACGTATGATGGGCTGCTGACAGTGAGTTTTCGCAAAGGCGAGCTTAGACGATAATACCGCCCTCGCATAACTCGAGCTACCAAGGAGTCTGGACTTTGAGCTAATCTCCACAACTGCTTTGCTAATAATGCCAGGTTAAATTCATGGATCATCCTGAAACCTATTCCTCCTTCCTCTTTAGACAAACATAACTTATCCCATGTTGTCCAGTGTAAGCCTCTCTTTGGTGGGTTTGAACTCCACCAAAATTGTGCAATGGCACTTGCCAAGGCATCACAAATCTCCAAAGGGAGCAGATAGCAAGACATAACATAGGTTGGAAGAGCTAACAGGATTGACTTTATCATTACTTCTTTCCCCCCGTTAGATAACCACCTGCCTGTCCATCCATTCACTCTATGCCGAAGCTTATCATTTAAGAAGGCAAACAACTTACATTTCGAGCCACTGATATCCTCTGGTATCCCTAAGTAGGTTCCCATTCCTGCTTCACTTTGTATCCCAAGAGTGTCTTTGATCTCCTGTCTAGCCTCTTGACCAATCCTCTTACCAAAGAGAAAAGAAGACTTATCAAAATTAATGCATTGACCAGAGGCTTGTCCATACTTCCTCACCGCTTTCATTACTTCTTCACATTCACGGGGCTCCGCCTTACAAAAGAACATGCTATCATCAGCAAAGAGTAAGTGGGATACCGACGGACACGCACGCGTGATGCGCATCCCCGTTATCTTTCCTTGATTCTCAGCATTTATACACATATTTATGTTATATAGTATATAAATATATGAATTTATACGCACGCGTGATGCGCAAACGTTTTACTTGTTACCATCAGCATTTATACACATATTTATGTTATATAGTATATAAATATATGAATTTCTGGCAAACGTTTTATATGATAAACTAATATTTATCAATTTAAATTTAATTACAAACCATAAACTTTCAATTCTAAACTCTAAATCTTAAACCTAAACTTTGTACTTAGCAATATAAATATTTAAAACTCTATAATTGTTCCTATCTGTTAAATAATTTCAAATAATTTGCAAGATAATCTCAAATATCTCACTTTTGTCAGTATACCATAAGTGTATTCTACTTATTTCTTGATATAGTAAATTAATAATATGTTACTAGGATAAGATCTGCGCCTTGCACGAGATAAAATATAAAATGTTATTTATATAGAATATTTTATATTTGAGAAGTCAGTGTATACGATCACTCTGTAAATTTAAAACGTTGCAATAGTTGGTTCTATGTATTAAAAGTTGGTTATTGATGGAACACGGAGAAATTTATGTTGGTTTGGACTCGAAGACGGAAAGAAAAATATTTGCTATTTAATACAGTTAAAATTTTATAAATTAATAATATTGGATTATAATATTTATTAATTTAGGAAATTTATAAAAAAATATTTTTTTTATCTTTTTTCTATTTTTCCAATATATGTGTTATAAAATTAGAAAAAAATATTTATTTTACTCTATATACATTAATTAAATTTTTGAAAGGCAACTTTTCTATAATTTTTATTATATTTTTTATGTATATTAATATGCTTCATAGAAAATAAATGTGGTTTGGATATAATTTTACTAAAATCAAAATAGATTAAAATATTAAGAATATATAAAGAGAATTTTGTTATGAATATAAAAAATAATACAATAGTTTTCTTTACTTATATCAAATATATATATACACGTGTAGATTATTAAAAAAAATTGATCAACTGTAGCTTATTAATTAAGATTTTA